CGAAATTATAATTCAAGCAAAAGAAGACGACGTAAACACACGTCTCTAATTTATTATAATTTTTTTTTAAAAGTAATTTGATGTCATTCGAAACGCTCCAGTAAAAATATGTCTCAGCAGCAGGAGAAGTGACGCCGTGGTAATTATACCTCGGTCGAAGCTGGTACTGTAATAATACATCCATCCATTTCTGATTTGATGACATGATATCTGTGATTGGTCTTAAACAAACCTTTCATTTGGTGTTGCGTCACATAGAACAGTATAAACATAAACATGACAGCTCAGAATTTGGTGAAAATCTTTTTTTTTTGCCTCAAAGCATTTAAAGTTTGTAACCAACAACAGCCAATACATACAAAAACAAACTATTAGCCTGACACGTCCACACGCAAATACATGCACGATGAACACTTTTTTTAAACGCCCGTTATTTCTTCATCCCTCTGAACGGTGCGTGAATCAGAATTCTCCATGACGCACAGACGTGACAAACACATCGGTTCCCAAAAACAGCAGTCAACCAACAAGTCGGAGCAGGTTGGCTCCACCGTACCTGCTCAGGGGTGACATGGCAGACAGCCAAAGTAAATGAGTCACCGTCGAGGCTGACGTCTTTTTTAATCTTTGTCGAGACAAAGGGAAAGAAGATACAGTATACGACTCCCCACCGAGCTAATGCTAAGGCAAACAAACCTCCACCGTGATAATGATAACCCAGCCAGCCTGTCCCACACTCTTTTCTGTCTGACATTTTCCTGCAGTCATTTTTGTTTGGATCGTTCGGTTCCTCCACTCTCTAATCCCTTCTTTCTCACCTGCGTTCTAACGACATCTGTTGGGAAACAGAACCTCACGTCGAACCCGTTTCATACATCAGCCTCATTCCTCTGCCTTAGAAGGCACTGGAACTGGGATGTGTTCTTATTATAACATTTTTACTGGCACAAACACACCCGGTACGCACACCGACTACGGCAGGCGCTGTTGTTGGCCCCGCTCTATTTTTAGACTATTGTTTGTAACCCCACAATATATCAAGTTCACATCAGCAGTGCTGTGAAAGAAAACGCTGGGGCAGCACCCACCAGCCTGAGACTAATGATGCTCCTCCTAATGGGCCTGTGATAGCCTGAGGGGCTGAAGAAGTGTCACATCACAATATAAACCGGTGCAGACCAGTGAAAAACCACCCTGGTACGGAGACAATCTCTGTGTGTTGTTCATTCATAACATGAAGGCACCTTGAATACGTACAACAACATGTAAAAAAAAAACAAAACATTATAGCAGAAGGAAGACTGGGATTACAGGTACAGGAGTTTTGTTTATTTTTAAATACTGGTTCTGTCAGTTATAGAATACAGAGGTTGAAACTGGTTGAATCTGACACATCTAGGAATGTACAGTGGCTGCATTACACAGCTGTGATTCATTTTTTAATCCAATTTACCACACGCAGTTGTATTTTGTCTGAACTGCCAACTCCAATGATTCTCGTTAAGGAAATATTTTAAAAAGGAAATGAAAAAAAAGGAAATGTTACTGTGATATTTATCAAATATTATACTTAGAATGTATTTCTGGTTCTTATGCTGATGATGTGGTGTTGTTGACTGACGTTAGCTGACTGTAGCGCGGCTCAGTGGTGTGGAGCTGCTCAAACATTGTTTTTTTTTTTTCATATCAACTGAAGCTGAGTTTTAACTCGGTGGTCATGTGTTTCAGTCACTTTGTAATTCTGTCACGCTGTAACAGCCGCACTCTTTGTTCGTACTGGTTCTCACGCCCCCCCTGCCCAATAGGTCACTCCTCTGAGACGGGTGAACAACCTCAAGTCAGCTCTGCACTTCTGTGTGAGTGTGTGTGTGTGTGTGTGTGTGTTTGCACCACCAGTCAATCTGAGGATTCATTACTTTTTAATGTTGGAATAATAATAACTACTCACTCTCTCTGCTTCTCTGCGTAGAGAGAGAAAAGGAGAGGGGGCGGGGGTCAGCAGAGAGCAC